AATAAAATAACGAAGGATGAAACGTGTGTATATATATATATATATATATATATATATATATATATATATATATATATATATATATATATATATATATATATTGAGTGAAAGAAATCCAATAAAACAACAAAAATGTTCACTGCAACAACACCTACACTGGAAAATTTCACGAGATATTTGACTCTTTTTTCGAAACTGGAAGATACGAGAAGAAAGCGCAAGTGATCCGCAACGAAGAATAAAAGGAAAAAACCAGCCGTGCGGCGAGAACGATCGGTGCTGGCGTTAAGGAGAACGTGATCGGAAAAAGAGGTGACGAGGTGAATTAGGAAATCTGCGCGGAAAATCCTACACTATCCAAAGCGGCAATCGCAAGCCTTGCTTCTTTGATGGAGGGTGGGAGGGAGGTGGGAAGGGAGGGGAAAGAAACCCCCCACAAGGAGGTGCCTCGGGCGGGGAGCGTGAACAGAAATGACGCGGATGGGCCGAGAGGCGAAGAAGAGCGAAAGGAAAGGGATATAGAGGATAAGAAGTAAATGCTGGAGACGACAAGTTTTCCCGAAGAGCGTCGTGGTCCCCTCGTTAGGAAGTCGGGCGGTCGGCGCGCGTCGCCAGCGCTCGACGCGAGAGGCTTTCCAACTGGCGGGGGCGGACGCGAGGGGGCGTGGCAGCCACGAGAACTGCATTTACACTGGGGGGTGGAGAGCACGCTACGTCTTCTGACCGGGATAAAGACGAGGTGACACGCCCTTCACGGAACACACAAACAAACACCTTCCGGAGAAATGTGAACGATGAGAAAAAATACACGAGTTAAAGAAACGTCAAGATTTGGAGAAATATAAGGTTTCTGCTAGTGAGTTTAAAGATTAAGTATAGAAGAAGTCAACTAAGTAAATATGCTGAATAATTAAATAACCAAAAAACAACAAAGAAATAGGAAAATAAATGGTAAATTAGGATTTACATCTAAAAGCCATTCCGAAAAACAATTGCAAGTTCTGAAGCATCTTTATAGAAATTTCCGCACAGTTTGATTTTATGAAACTATGCTTTAAAATGCAGTATTGTAATTAACAATAATAATAATATTTTTAATGTATTTTGTATTAGATGCATCCGACATTAACTTACAGTTTCCGATGGTATGTAACAACGTGTCTTCTCTTTTCTATAGGTAGTAATATCCTATAATGATGAATGAAAATAATAGTTTACGTGATAATCGCATGAAACAGGTGATACACACGAGTCTAGTTTGTCGTCTGGCGCAGCGTGAACGACAAAGAGACGAGAGCGGGAAACACCTCACGCCCGTGTTGCGTGGATTATTTTTTAACATTCCATGAGCGAAACGCAATTCGTCAAGTAACGGAATATAAATTAAATATCAAATAAATAGAAAACCTTACTTGTACAAAAGTAACTGGATTCCAGTCAGGGTCGTAACACTATGTTTTGTAAATAAAAACAATGAGTTCGTCACGTCAAAAGACATTGTGCGAATTGTTACAGATGTTTGGCACACGCTTCGCGATGTTGAATTGCGACACTGAAAAAGTTACCTTTTTCACACACGGAAACCAAGCATGAAAAAACACGTTTCGCGCATAGTGTGGTGAAAGAACTATTTACTCAACTTTGTGTGCAATTGGTGCAGATGTGTGCTGCTAGTATACTTGTATGTGCAATAAACTACTTCTTGACTTAACCGTTATTAAACTAAGATGAATTGACAAAAAGATGCAACTCTAACCGGCCACAAATATTCGATAAAGAAGACAATCTTTAATGGAACGTTTGATACCAGAATTGTCTGACTTCCTGGACAATCTCTGCCCTCCACATGGATCTACATTCTGTTGACTCGGATTCCATTGCCATAACATATCAATAACGTCCGTTTTGAAGGCCACTTCGTAACAAAAATAGGTTGTGTGAACCGAGTAAAGGCGTTACTGACCATGGAGGATGGCTGTCTGAGTTGACGAGTTCCGTTTCTCATTTGGCACAACCAGATTGAAACCGCATTTTTTATTGTTCTTGAGACAATGGCTGGCCTGGAGAACATTTTTTGGGGTCTGATCTAAACAAATATATGTCCTACTAACAACCTCCGTGATGCAGTTTGCCATATTTATCGAAATATTATTTCTTGACAAAAAATTTCAACTTTTTTCGAAATTACCAAAATCGGAGAGGGAACTCAGGGATAGCTTTCTTGTTCCTCGGAAGTTCAAACGTAGTTGCACATGGACACAATTAACGACCATTGTGGACTAAAACACAACTATTGAATGATGTCTCCTAGTGAGTTAACATGCTATAAGGTCTGTTCTATGCGACATATTAGCTTAATACTATTTTTTTAAAACTCGTTACAAATTAAATCAATTGTAAATACTGACTTATTACAAACGTAATTAGCATTTCTACATGCCAGTACGGCCATCACCAGGGTCGTGTCTATGGCGTGGGTAGTTTGCTGGCGTGAAACTCACTCGGCAGCGCGTCGGAGAGAAAGCGGGAGGGGAACCCCCGAGAAGACGTCGAGGCCACGTGCCTCCGTGAGATTGCCGACGGCGGGGCGCGCCGGGGGGCGCAGGAGAAGGTGGCGATCGACAGGAACAGCTCGGGCTCTTAATGGAGAACAGCAGTCGCAGAGAGCAGGAGGTGCAGGAGAAGGGAGGAGTCACGTGAAGTCGACAGCCGTTCGCGAGATCGTTGGAAAATTGCGTTTGCGATTTCCTTCCTAACACCAGCAGCTGCGCAGCGTTGGGTTTTCCATTGTATTCGTGAAACGAAGAGATCGCTTTTACAACGTAGTTAGTTACAAATTCATGATATGATGACTCCGAATATGAAGCTTTTGGTGTACATTTAATGTGATTAATAAAATAGCATCTAAATTACGATACGTAAATACTAAACGTAATAAGTATAATCTAAGGGAAAGGAACATTTTGAAAAGTAAAAAAATAATCGAATATTCCTTTACGAAATAGGACGAATATGAATCCAAATCATGTCCAAATTGCGTGTTGATCCTACTGATTAAAGTTAAGTTTGAAAGAATACAGAAGAACAAAAGAATATCGACAGAATTTACTCAATTCTTTTAAAACCCAGAATACGTGTACAATTAGCGATGAAATAACATGCCTCACGTGCGACACAGACTGACAATATGCCTATCTTATTCATTTTGGACAACATTTGGTATTTTGACAATTGCATTTTTCATTGAACAACTTAAACTATTTTCGGCTTCATCCTCTTTACCAACCAAATCCCCTTGACATCACCAGCTTAATTGGAAAGGAAAGCTAACACAGCATGCGTCCAGATGCACAACGCTAGTGATGGAATTTCGAGTAAATTAGCATTCGTGAATGGCCAATCACGTTCTCAACGACCGGAAATCCTCAAAATGACGTTTCGAGGTTTCCATTGGGAGGCTATGTACTGTCTTCTCGTTGCCGGCCAGAGAAATTAGGGACGTGGCAGAAAACATTGCGGGGGATGGGGTCAGAGCAGTTAATTATTTGATAAGAAGATTGGATTTCACCAGAGAGAAACACTAGCATAACCTTGCTCTCATCGACGCACAATTCTCTGTTTCAATGCATATAAATTCATTGTTTCATTGCAAAAGATGAGTTTAGTATTGTGAAAGAGAATAAAAAGTTGCTTCTAGGTTAATACTTCTACTTATTTAAACGTTACTTCCCGTGTTTATGGTTTCCTTCTAATAAATAATGTTGTTTAATATTTTTCGTGAGTCACAATTTCCAATATTTAAGAAGATATATTCTGTCAAGTAAACCCAGATACACAAAAATAGCCGCATTTGCAGTCAATATTATATCAGCGATAACGATTTTATAGAGCCCATATACCCATAACCTCAATAATGGGGCTTGTGGGTTTGAGTCTCACCTTCGAAAAGACTGTCTTCAACCCTTTAGGTCCCCTTTATCCCCCATAATTTCACATCCACTCATAATCCAAATAAACGACATACAAATTTGTAATAATGAATCAGAACTCTAGAAGCAGATTCCCCCTCCAGAATATTTAACAACACTCGCCATGTGTGATTGGTGAAAAGTTTGTAAGTCCCATTCTATGCTCAGCATTCCTCCAAATACCAAACCAGGTTCGTAATCTTCTTAAGAAAAGCCTGTAATATATTCTGAATTAATAACAATCCTTAAAGAGAGCTAAATCATTTTGTGGAGCCTTTTTTACTACATCTGCTTCAAAACAATATTTAATGTATAATTTTATAATGTAAATACATTTTTTTTGAAGCGAAACCACGTCACTTTTATTGATGTATAAATCGCAATATTTCACTGTCACCAAGGACAATGATACAAGTCAATCGTATTTTTTATCCCGAACGGTCCTTTGTTAATTATTACCTAGAAACAAAATGCACTGCCACTCTAATATATACAGTATAACAGTTATTTACTTACCAAAAATATAAAAACATCACTATATCATTACACAACATGCGAATTACAAATATTTAAGGACGGATGTCCTCAATCTTGGAGCCTTGATGTCGCATGACGCATTTGTGTTCTAAGCACCCTGAATACGACAATTCAGTTGGTACGTGCAGTATGATAATATCCGGAATAACATAATCAATTTGCATTTTTCAAACAGGATAGAAACTATTACATTGTTTTGGGATTTTTTCGAGTTCATAGGTATCTACACAAAATCGTAGACTCCTCTCATATGGGCGGAGGGTGCACAGTTTTCTTTTCATTGCTGTATGCACTTAAAATTAGTAAAAAACCAAACAATCCATTATTTTATTAACTTGTAGAAATAAATAACAAAATTTGACGAAGTGTCCCCTTTTTAGAAATTTTCTTGAGCAGCCATAAGGATTTAATTTGAGTGATATCGAAAGGGAGCAATAAAATGGAAGAGGCAAGCAAGATAAAAAAGAGACAGAAAATGCAGGTGGAGCGACGCACCTGTAGTCCCCGCCCTCTGGCAGCTGGCGCACGGCGATGGGGAACTCGGAGGGGCCGTGCGCCTTGAGCAGCTCCTGCAGGCGCACCAGGCCCTCGTTGCTCTCGTAGACGATGGTGAAGCTCCTCCACCCCCACGCGCGCACGAGGTCCACGTACGCCTGCGCACACCGGAAAACACGCCGCGCACTTGAGCGACTTAGAGCACACTTTAAGCAGCACTTTAGACGCTTTCGTTCGTTAGAGCATTTCGAGCATTAAGTATTTTAGAGCATATTTTAGAGCATTTTAAACATTAGTTCTTCAGGGGTCAATTTAGAGCATTTTAGAGCACAATAGTACTTTAGAGCACAGTTTAGAGCATTTTAGACACTTAAGTACTTTAGATCATTTGAAGCACTTAAGTATTTTAGAGCACATGTTAGAGCCACTTAGATAATTAAGAATTTGGAGCACATTTTAGAGCATTTTAAACATTAGCTCTTCAGAGGTCAATTTTAAGCATGTCAGATTCTAGTACTTTAGAGAACACTTTAGAGCATTCTAGACCCTACTACTCTAGGTAATTTTAATTAATTTAGAGCACATTTTTAGCATTTAAAACCCTTGTAGTTTAGAGAACCCTTTAGAGCATTTTAGATAATTTAATAGTGTAGCTCACAAGTTAGATCACTTTATACATTAGACTTACAGTTGACAATTCGGAACAATTTAGACACTTTAGTATTTTAGAGCACCTTTTGAATCATTTTATACACTAGTTTTTAGAGCACAGTTAATGAACATTTAGACACTTTGGTATTTTAGAGCAAAAATTGGAGCATTTTATACACTAGTACATTAGAGAGCACTTTGCGGCATTGTAGGCACGCCCACGGGGCAACCGCTCGCCAGCTCGAGCAATGCCTTCTAGGAAAACTATTACGCCATTCAAATAGCTTGACCTGTTACCAATTATTATAATGTCTAATATTCAATTTGGTACATAAACATATAATTACTGAAATTATAATTTGAGCACATGTTAGAGCAATTAAGATAATTTAGAGCAGCCTAAAACGTCTCTATTTAAACCAATTAAGATCCACTCTGATTGGTCGAACTCGTTCTGCAGCGAAGCTGACTTTGCCCCGCTGACGACGTGATAGAACAATGTTCAGTTGAGCCTCTATGTTCGTATGAAACGCACTCATGTCTCGCTGCTCCAAATTCAATCACATCTGTATTGAACAATGTTTTATTATACCTTCTCAAGTCCATAAACAGTCAGTGTTTAATCACAGCTAAAAAATGCAAAGTGCGTGTTTAGAGCATTTATTTATATACCCAATGTTGCTTACGTTTGCTACAAATCTATTATAAAATCAACCACACCAGTGATTGTGTTGAAACTATTCACACACGTCGTGCAAGGTCTCGGGACAGGTCTCGTACAGAACGAGCCCTGGCGTGTTATACGTTTCAATATATCATAGTATTTCTCTACACACAATGAGCAATAAAGTAACATGGTACCATAAAATTTAATCAACAAGCTGAAATTTATGTCGTCATTTTTCAAATTACAAGGAAGACCTTGCGTGGATATTGAGATAATATATTTAGTATGTATAAACGTTATAATATATAATGAGTTGTCTCGTTATGTGTCAATGTAAATAAACTGCTTCTCACAAGCTCGTCTAGTTTCACTTCTAGGCGTTTGTGAAAGGTTGAAAAAATAAAAACATTCCCAAGTAAAGTTATGCACACACCTCCACAGTTTGCAAGGCCTGACTACAAATTTGACTCTCACGAATAATCAACCAACGAGTACAAGTGCATTTTACGATAATGTGTCATCAAACAACGTTCAACGTCCTTTTTCGCGATCTCATAATGTGAATTTAGGAGAAAATCATGTGAACGGGTTAAGCTATAGCGTTGATCACAGACGAACGGATGGACAGACGAATGGACGTTTTGTTTACTTCCAACCAGGTATTTTGTTGTAAACCAATTTTTCGGTGTCAAGGACTTTAAAAATTACATTTTGACGACACAAATAATTAGACGAAGTAATTTTCAACATATAGAAACAAGATTATCCACTTTACACATATAGAAACAAGACTTAAAAGCCAGAAAACATCATGTCTTTGCCTTTTAAACCCCATGTGGAAGAAATAAGGACTTGGGATTTGTAGGAGTTAAATCGAATGTGTATACTGACGCCCCGGTGCGAAAGGACAAAGCAGCGACTAAATACTCCAGAATCAATTTGATCAGGACATCTCAGCAAAGAAAACATAGGATTCAAAAGTCAGGCATACCTGCCTTATGGGAGAAGAGAATAACCAATGATGGTGGCAATTCCACTTAATCTAGATGGCGTCATACAAAGTTGATCAAAGTAGTGAGTACCTCCACGTTTAATGGAGGTAAGGTCATTGCTTTTAGGCTTCGACAATATTGATTGATAGACTAACACATACAGATTGTAAACATGCTGATCGTAAATGGTCAATTAGAAACTCCGTAGACCCTAAAATAAATTTGATGAAGTAATTCAATCGAAAGGATGAAAATTGAGGAGGAATCGAAAAAATTTAGTGTTAGAAACATGAATTCACAACAAAAACCTTTGAAAATGACACAGGCAAAGTGAATATTGTTTATATCAAAACTAAGCAAATGTGAAATACGTATAAAATACGTGAAAATATCTCGGAGTTATTCTCTCAGGAGTATGCAAATTTCTGTGATTTATTTTTTAAGTGATCCATTCCGTTAATGAATATTCCTACTTTAATCCCATCACGAGTGCGCATGTACATTGAAGCATTCTCTTCTCTTATTTAATAAACATATATCATTAAAGTTCCAATATCGGAGTCAGCACGCAAAGGTATAAACTCAATTTTACTTCGTTTAAATGAAAATCGAGTGGATTACTTCGAGAACAAGGTAAAATAGAATTTTCATTCGAAATGAATGTTCATGAAAGAGAATTTTCAGAAAAGGGATTGAGCCAATAGTAATTCCAATAACCAAATTGGAATGAAACCGGATTGCATATCGTATTATTATATTTTTCGTTTTGTAGGTTCCATAAAACCGGTTTCAGATTCTTCATGCGTGAAATAATGTCTGGCTCTGTATGATTCAATATTCATCAATACCAAATTATGGATTGGTATTCAGGAAACAAAACCTACATTTTTATATTAAAATCCATAAAATAATCACAAACTTTTCGACATTTTTTCGATTTCATTGAGTTTTGCAAACTCATTATAATGAATTCGTATATGTGTAATTAGTCACTTATTTTAGTAAACTATATTTGATGTCTGTAGACTTCACATTGATAAAGACAGCCCTGAAGGCAAAAATATTTTCCGAGTCATCTTTGGAATTTAAATTTAAGTATTTTCAGGTTTTTTTCATAAAGCCAAGATAATTGAATCATTTTTATTACAACGGTTTTTAGGCGAGTTTAATAAATACTACTTTTTTATTTTTTCCCTTTACTTAAGAATGCCAAATCCTTTATTTTCAAAAAAAAAATCTTCCTTAAAAATTCTTGATTATTTTTTTAAAATGTATTTTCACGGAATTAGTACCACCAAAGGAAGATATTTTATGAGCAAGAGTAAGATTAATTTTATTTTCGCCCTTCCATCCAATTTAACTGACCCTGTAATATTCATATTTTACATTTCCTCTTAGATGACCAGGTTTTTCCAAGACATTTGCCAACTAACTAAATGAAATATATCAACATCTCTAAGTTGCAATAACAATGTAAAATTTTACGTAATTATTCTCCAGCACATAAACACAAAATTGAAAAATAAAGTTATCAATCGTAAGGTAGAGCTGTTCTTAAAATGGATATTTTTGTGAAATGGAATTAAAATACATTTGTAAATGAAGAAACCACACGTAGGAACGCTTATGTATATAGAACACATTGTTTGAGTTCGTGGTAACATAATGGAGTTTCAATATCCTTACTCTAGTTTACCTATATTGTTGATGTTACGAAGTTGTCAAAATCGTTTGCATCACATCCCCGTAGTTTGTTATGTGAACATAGTTAACAGCGCGGAATAAAGTATGCAAACAAACAGATAACATCCTTTAATAACAAGGGAGCCCGTTAATATAGGCCCGTGATCATATCTGAGCCCTGTTAAATTACGACCTTTACAAAATCCACCATCCCCATTCTCGTTACGTTGCTATAAAACCCGGCTATCGCGTTCAAACTGTCCGTTACCTGTGGAACTACCTGCCAATTTGGTCAATTGTCACTTTTTTGCCGAACGTCATCGGCGGCAATTACAGGTTCACTGCTGCATTGGAGTTCCGACTGTCCAATTACTCTGCTGCAACTTCCCCAACGGAACTGCTTTCGATGGAGTGGAGAGTACATTTTCATCTGCTGTCTCAGGAAAAAACGCCTGTAGCAACGTTGATAACTCGGCCCGCGAACTTCTTAGCACTTCACTCTAAGTATCAGAAAAAATATAATAAAATAGCGAATTAAGGTTGTAATTGTACGTTTAAGGGTGGTTCATGGCGCATGGTCTAGTGTCTGTTTTTTAGAAAAGGTCGGGTACAGAAAAAAATGACTGAAAAGTGCATTTCTCGAATTTCGTTGAAGTAGATTTTCTTATTATTAAACATTAAGAAAGTCTGTACACAGAGAAATGAATTATGAGAGTGCTTCCCAGAAGAGACCCCTACTATAAAGCTTACACAAATAGTGTGTATTGTAAAAAGACGTTGAATGAGAGAGACTAAAATTTAATTTACCAATTTCAATTATGACTTGCACTATGCTTATACTTACTCAATCCACACCTCACACCTCATAGCGTCTAGACTATTCGTACAATTAATCGGACGTATTAAGGATAGAGACAAATCATTAAAACATGTCGCGTTTCGAATAAAGGAATTAAAGTTGTTTTTTGCCATGCAGTAATGTATAATGTATTTATCTATTGTGAGAACTTAAATAAATAAATAAAAACAATAGTTTTTTTGTTAAGTACAGTAATCATTAATCAGAACATAGCTTGCATGGTGTTTAGAATAGAAATCGGAAGTGGTGCGTTATAGTGCTGAAGGAATGCATTTGGAAACGAAATGATCATACTTGACAGCTGTT